GCCGCCTTGACGTAGGCCGCGCAGGCGCCGTGTGGAGTCCGCGCGGGCGTTTCCCGGCCTGCGGGGTCCGCTGGAGCGCTCGCCGGGGCGCAGTTTGCTCAGCCACGTGCACGGGAGGGGCGTGGCAGGCGGGGGAGGGGCTACTGCGCGCCAGTTTGCTCCCTGTGACGCCCACGCGCGGAGCTGAGAAATGGTTTCTCTGCGCTGCTCGTCCGTCCGGACGCTGCCTGATGGGTCGCTCGTGTTGCCTTCTGCTTTGGATGCTGTTGTGGAGTTGGTGACCCCACGTAGGAGGCACCCCCCTTCACAACCGAGTTGCTTGAGTGCATTGTTGCAGCCCGTGTCCACCCATCTCATTGAGACTTCCTCTTTTTCTCTGTCCTCCCCCACCACCACCCCGCCGCACCCCGTCCTCTTTCTGGGGGACATCTGTTTGGGTTGGTTTTGAAAAGCAGGCTTTTTTCCTTTCTAAATGGACTGGGTAGCGGTGATCTAAGTGCTTCTCCCCTGGGATTCCCTCTGGTGACCTTGTAGGGAAGCTCTCTGTCGCTGGGGTCACCTGACACCAACAGAGAGGAGCTGTTTATAGTTCTTCCAACGAGGGCTGGGTTTTCTCCTAGCGGGCCGAGTTTTATGTTACATTTACATAGCAAGATCGAGTTTTTAATCATCTGGGTGTTGAGTTGAGTGTATATGTTACGGCTTCTTTCCTGGAACATTTCCAGGCGTTCTGCACAGGACCAGGGCCCGTGGACTCGCATCATTCAGGCCTGAGCCAGCTCCCCGTCCATAATAGACCAGCTCACGGGTCATAGCAGACATGAACCATCTCAAATCTTGTACACATCCTCTCTACTTCTTTCCTTCACCGGGTGGCTTTTTTGACCCGAGGACTCACTCATGATGCCGAGGGCTTAAGGGGAGAGCAAATGTTTTGAGAATGACGAGGGCAATGAATGTACAAATGTGCTTTACACAATTGATGTATGTATGGATTGTGGTAAGAGTCGTATGAGCCCCTCATAAAATGATTAAAAAAAACCAAAAAAAAGCCAGGAAGGGAAAAAAAACGAAAAACCCAGAGTTGGTTTGAGAGCAAGGCAGCCGGGTCCGGGCCCACCAGGGGAGCGCTGGGAGGTCTTGGGTGCACAGCCTCCCCCCTCTGTTGTGTGGCTGTATGACTGATGACGCTGGGTTGTAAAGAGGCCCAGGCTGAAAGTGGCCTCTGCCGTGTCCCCAGTGCCCCCAGAATTTGGTAATGACACAGATAACCAGGGGAAGGATTCCCACCAGTATGCAGGCGCCCTTAGCAGTCCTTCAGAGACCGTCTGGAGCAGTGCCGGCCACCTCCCACCAGACAAGCACTAGAGAGAAGACCTGAGTCTGCAAAATCCCAGGGGCCGCAGCTCCTGGTGTCTGCAGTCTACCTGGTGTTCACGGGCACGCCCGCCCCGCCCTGAGCAGCAGGATCTGCCCACAGCCCTGGTCTGAAGGCCGGTGCTAAGCTGCCCTGTGGCCTCTGGGCCTGTCTCATCACCTGCAGGAATCCCTGCAAACCTGTCCTCACTCACGTCCTCTCTCCTCCATTCCCAGCTCCAGGGTTGTGGGTGCGGCAGGTGGGACCTAAGCTGGACTCCAGGCCCCAGCGAGGAATGCTGGGGCAAGGGCTGGCCCTGTCCTCGCGTGGGCCCGGAATCCAAGCCTCCCAGCCGTTTATTCCTTCTGTCCGCCAGTCGCCTGTAGAACTGTGCACAGGGGCTGAGCAGGACCCTGGGATTTCCCAGAAGCCCATTCCCTGGGGCAGGGCAACAGGGCTGCCGAGGCCTCTGAGACCAGCTGACTGAAATTGGGACAGACTTCCCTGTGTGCGGACTGTCCACCTCTCAGGTCCTTGGGGACCCCTCACTCTGACCAACTGGCCCCAAAGGCTCCAAAAGGGAGACCCTTGGGGGTGGGTGGGAGGTGAGAGCCTGGGAGGCTCCAGGTGGAGCACCTGTCCCCAGGGGAACGTGCATAGAAGGCTGTCTGTTAGGGAACTGTGTTGGTTCACTGGGGCCCGTGGTGGAGGTGGGATCCAGGGGTCAGGGGCTACAGGATCCAGCTCCTGCCCTTCCCTCCCCTCTGCTGGGCTTTCCACCCAAGGCATCTGCTGAGCAGAAAGGGGACTCCAGTCACTCGTAAATTCCGGAGGGTTCAGAGGGGCCTCCCAAGAGCCCAGACACAGGTCAGATGGGTTTCCTAGGCGAGGTGAGGGACAGTGTCTTTCCCTTAGGGCCTCCCCACTGGATCCCCAGCACACCCTCCCACCAGGTCTAACCCCCAGTAAGGAGCAGATGGGAGGAGACCTGGGGAGAGCCATTCCAGCTGCCCAGAACCTGGCTGAGTGAGATCCATCCATCCTCTGCTCCGGGCTGACTCAGAGGGTCGGGTGACTTGTAATTCAGTTTATCTCTGGATCAGCCCGGGCCAGAGTCCTGACCTGAGGAGTGACAGCCCTGCACCGGGGAAACACCAGCACCCTCCCGTTACATCCCCTCCACCGCTGCCGCCTGGCCCTGGCCTTACCCACCCCACCTTGGATGACTATAGAGTGAGGAGGCAGGTGCGTGCACACACACACACACACACACATACTCATGCACACCCTCACATACACACGTATACATACACATACTCATTCACACACACCTGAACATAAACATATACTCATGCACACACATATTCACATACACACACACACACACACACAGTCACACATGAACACAGTCAGAATCTCAGCTCCAGGCTCCCTCCAGCTGAGCACCCGGGCTGCCTGAAGGCCCCTGGTCTCCCTCAGAGGAGGGTCTGCAGGTTTGGTCCCCTGACCCATGGCGCCTGCTGGGGACGGGGAGAATACAAATAGGCGCTGACAGGAAGAGCACAACGCAGGTCTCTGTCTGGCTGCACTGTGGTCAAGGAAACACCTGGTGGAGCAGGACACGTCTCCTTCGGACACCTCCCCCAGCTTCCCACAGGCAGAGGAGGGGAAGAGGTCGGTTGGCCCAGACACGCCTCTCGCCACCCATGAGGATCTGAAGACTGGGGCTTTACCTATATGCCAGGAAACTCCATATTCATGTGCCTCCAGTCACATTGCTAGGGATCCCTGTGGTGGTGCAGTGTGTTGCACGCTGGGCCGCTAACCACAAGGTTGCCAGTTCAAACCCACCGGCCACTCCATGAGAGAAGGAGGGGTCTGTGTGCTTCCATAAAGTTACAGTCTCAGAAACCCACAGGGGCTGTTCTGCCCTGTCCAAGGACAAAGCCATGAGTCAGGAAGGGGGTCCCTAGCACATGCCCAGCCCAGAAAGTTCAGAACGCAGCAGGGCCCCAGGGCTCCCAGGTGCAAGACCAACAACTCAAATTGTATTGTACATACCTCTTTTTATTATGAAACTAACAGAAGAGACTGTTGCCCAAAGCTGGTGATCTGCCGGCTAGCTTTAAAAGGACTTCCGAATAGTTCCCGCATCCTCTGTTCTAGACGTCACCCTGTCTGCACCTCAGTCAGCATGGCCTTAAAGTAGCTTCACCTGCACGTCTTGTGGATTCCCCAAAGTGGAGTCTGGGTCTTCCTGGGAAGAAACCTTTCTTCAGAGTGACACGTAAGCCATTTCTGTGGCACTTGGTTTGAACGCAGAGAAGCAGGGCAGTGGAGAGTGTGCTCAGCTGCTCGCCCACTCCCCACTCCGAGAAGGAACTGCGAGAGGCCACGTTCATGATGGTGACAGCTCCTCACTGTCCATGAGGGCACTGCGGGTTGGAATCAACTCTGAGGCGGGGTGTGTTCTGACTTTGGGTCAGTGGCATAAGCAGGGCCCAGAGCCAAGGCACCTCCTCTTGGCTGGCTGCACTCAGTGAAGGGAGTTCACGTCTCAGGCAGCTCATTAGCCTGCTGGTGCTTCCTAAGGGGGGGGTGGTGGATGGAGACCATCCGCTGACCTTGAGCTCAGGAGAAGGCTGGGCATCTGCTCCCTCATGGAAACCCTCAGGAGCAGTTCCCGTCAGCCCTGTAGGGTCACTGTGAGTTGGAATTGACTCGATGGCAGTGGGTGGGTTAATCTTGTGAGTCCAATACGTGGACAACCTCGACTGTATGCACCAAGGACAGTGCATCTCACACAGCAAGGTCCCACAGCCTCAGGGCACCTGCTGCCAACCTTTGCCATTGAGTGTCCCACTCTCGAAGGCACACTGTTGTGGCTGCAGGGTGGGCACCAGATGCAGTCAGACCAGCGGCACAGACGGCTGTTGTGCAATCTCCTCCCTTTTTCACTCGAGTCTGTCACTGTGCCCATGGCGGTCTTTTCCGCATCACCTGTTCATGGGTGGCCCGGGCCACATAGGCTTTCCAGGCCTTCCCATCATCATCATCACCTGTGCCCCGCTCACCCCACAGGCAGCTTGTTGGGGCTGGAGCAGAGTGCTGGTGCGTGGCCGTGGGCTGGGGTTGCAGTCTGGGGCCAGAAGCCAACATGGAGATGAGGAGTTGTGGGCAGTGTAGAGGGGGCAGGAGTCCAGTCAAATCTGTTCCCAAAGTGCATGCATGAGCCACCATGTAGCACATTCTGGTCGCCCAGCCCCAGGTCTCAGCACCCGCACTCCGAGTCTGCAAGATCAGTGGCACTGCCAGGGAGGCCTTGCCCTCCTGACCCGCCCCCAGTTTTGATGACACACTCCGTCCTCAGAGCGGCTGGTCCACGGGAAGGCCCTCTGAGTGCCCTGTGGCCCCCAAAGTCCCCACACCATCTCAGGGAGCACGGGAGCTGAAATAACCACGCACTTCCCGCTTTGTAATGCATGGGAAAGTGTGTGTGTGTGTATGTGTGTGCGCGCGCGTTCGTAACATTTCCAGACTTTGGAAATCCGGGTTTCTCCCACGTGCATCTAAAAGTGCCTTTGCAGGCACCCCTGCTGGGAAAGACATTTCATTCAGATTCTACTCAGGGCTGTCATTTTGTCCTTCGCTCCGAACCCCAGTGGGCAGGTCCAGAGCTGCTGGAAAACCACTGCTGGCCAGAGGACCTGGCCTATACCAGGAGAAGCGCTTCCCCTGGTGGATGGGGCCCATGGCCGGACCTGCCCAGAAGCTGCCAGTTTCCACAAGTGGCCGAGGGTCAGAGTGCCAACCTGTGCCAGGGCTGGAGGGTGAGCAGCCAATTACCTCCCCTCAGGAGCGAGGGGCCACTGCTATGGGCCAAGGGGCTAGTGCCCATGCCTCCTCACCTGCCCCTCGCCCCACAGCACGGTGTCGCCTGCCCAGAGCAGCTGTCAGATCTGAGCCCATGACCCGGGAGAGGACAGGGTTCTCCCTTCATCTGTCTGCACAGAAGAACAGCATGCCAGACGTGCCCCCAACTGTGTCAAGCACGGCCATCTCGGGGGACTCGTGTCCTCTGTGTTCACATGCTCTTTTTAAGGAGCGAGGGGTCTGCAGCCGGCCAGGTTAGATGTTGGCTCTGGAGGGGAGGGGGGAGGGGGGGCGCTCTACACTGCTCCTCCTCCTTCCTCCCACCAAGACACTGAGACATCTTAAAAACAGGAAGAACAAACAGAAAAAAGAGACAGCAGACTGCCCACCGCACAGGAACCAGGAGACTGGTCACCACTGAGACCACACAAGTTCTTCCAGGAAGCCCAGAGCAGCTGGCAGTGTGGGCAGTGGGGACCGGGCAGGACGGCAGCAGGGCCACTCCCTTGCATCGGGCAGGACAGTGGAGCGTGCCCGAGAGGTGGCAAGGCGTCCGCCCTCTCTCTTCGGGAGGTCTCTTAGGGCTGGTGTTTGGAGGGAGAAGCAAGGGGAAGTCTGGGATACAGAGCTGGGAACCGGAAGTGGAGGATGACCCACTGCCAGTCTCCAGCCAGGCCACATGAGTAGGGACAGCCAGAGAGGCAGGGCAGTCTCCTAGCCCCAGTGGAGTCTTCCCGGACAAAAGCCTGCTTGGGAATACCGCCCACGGCAGATCTCCCTTTTCACAACGGAGAGGAGACCATCCCCACCAGGCCTCTGTTAAATAAGGAGAAACCTGGATTCTGACTGATAGCGAGGCTGGGCTGGCCTCGTCCCTTTCAGCGACGAGCCCAGCACCCCCAGCCTGTGGCCTTTGTAGTAAGACAGGAAAGAAAGGTAGCAGAACCGTGCGAGAGGCATGCATTGCCCAGGGAACGCCAGCACTCCTTCAGGAACACGATCGGGCGGACTCAGATCTTGATCTTAAGGCTGAAACCTGAGGAATGCCCCTAACGATAACAGCAGACCCCCCACGTGAAGAAGGCTCCCACCCAACGGGGCGGTGGACAATGGTTTGAGTCGCACATGCACTGCCGCGTGTGCGCAAAGACTGGATAACAGACACAGTGCTTCCCAGACGTACAGACCTGGATGCCAGAGCAGGTCTGTGTCTCGATGTGCTGTTTAATCTGCCAATGGGCCTCAGAACCTCATCTGGAAAAACAACCGGAGTGGGAGCCATTTGAAGAGGAAATACGGAGCCAACATCTCTCTTCTGGGGGTCACCTAGAGCATGAAGCTACAGGCCCTGGACAGGCGTGGCGTGGCTGCAGCAGGCACCACCTCCAGCTGGAAGGCCCAGCTCACCTGGAGGGAGGCGGATGGTGGCTCAGCAGTCAAAAGCCTGCCCTCCGTTGGGGAGACCCTGGTTCAAGCCCAACCAGAGCACGTCATGTGCAGCCTTCAGCCACCATCTGTCAGGGGAGGCTCCTCAGAACGTCCAGATCAAAGAGAGCAGCAAGAAAGGCTTGGGACCCTGCTCCCAAAGTCAGCCCGTGGACACCCTGTGGGTCACACCGCTCAGAACAGAAGCAGACAGTGGGAATGGGACTTCCTCTGGTCGTACCACTCACCGTGAGTGGGTCGACCTAACAGCAGAGCAGCAGCTGAGGAGAAGCAGCAGACCAATTGTCTACACCCAGCTTCCTGTGTGCTCAGAAGTAGCAAGATGCCGAACAGACATGGGCAGACTCAGAGCTGCTCCCACTAAAGGCCCTTCCGCCCAGGGCAGCACTCAGACAGGCGTGGGTGGCTTTGGGGGGTGCGTTATGCAGTGGCTGCACCACAATGATGTTAGCGATGCATCAGGGTCCGTGTCCCCTTTCGGTTTGATGGCCATACCACCCAGAGACCTCGGTCGGGGGACCCGGGGATGGCCAGACTGTCGGCCAGCAGCATGTTCTCATAGGCACCCAAGAAAGAAACCCGTGTTGTCCTGGCCAATTTCCTGTAGGTTTGAAGCTGTCATCTCTCACACCCACAGCCAAAGGACACACGTCCACACTCACACACACACACACACACAAATGACACACATCCACACTCACACACAAACCCAACCACAC